CCCTGTCCATCAGGGCAGTTTGGCCTCCCTGACTTTGCAATAACGTGGAAGAGGGATAACATTCCTCCCTTCACCCTCCTCTAGGGAGCAGCTCTCCACCTGGGCCAGGCTGAAGGGCCCATCCTCCCCTGCCAAGCCTGAGCTGCTGGAGACCCTTTCTGGCTCACAGCCATCTCTGCAAAGCCCCAAACCTCTCCTGTATCAGCAGCCTCACACACCACATTCCCTCTGCCCACAGACGTGTCCTGCACAGCGTCCTGTGACAGCCTCAGTGGCACCGGGGTGGCTGCAGCTCCCTGGCTGTGCCCCTGGGGGCTTTGCTGCAGGGAAAGGAGGATTTTGAGTCTCCCAGGGGTGAGGGATTGCTCTGAACAAACTGCCTGGTCCATCCCTGCCCCACAGCTCCCCATTTTGCCTGGGTGAGCTGGCTGCCCCCCATGCCTCAGGGAGCTCTGCTTCAGCCAAGCTGGAATTGTGTCTGTTCAGGGCAAAGAATCACCTGGAAAAACCAATTCAGACAGTTCCTGGCTGCTTTTAGAACATCAACGCCGGCTATTTTATGCCTTATACATAAAAATCTACTTTTAGCAGAAATTAACAAGGTTCCACTTACATTTACTCTCTTCCTGACAAACCTCATTTTTCATTTTCAGTTTTTCAGTGCCTTGAGGAGACAAGCTGCTTCCCATGGATAGCAGCACCAAAATCACCCTATTTTGGTCAGGCTGGACCAGTGATGTGTATTTATAGGCAGCATCTCTGTACATGCTGGCCCATAAACTGGTCACAGATCCCAGCCAGAGGTCACAGATCCCAGGGTGGGAAAACCCCAAGGGTGAAATGCAAGGGTCTCTGCAATTAAATGGCCTTTGTGTCCATGAGAAGAGCCATGGGCAGCTGGGATCTCCCTCCATCCCACCCCGGGGCTGTGCCACAAAGCTGTTCTCCTTTTTCCTGGGATCACAGCGCGCTCTGTGCCCAGGTGCTGCCCAGCTCCTCTTTTCCTGCCCAGTACAGCAGGATGAGTTTGCCAGGCTCAGGGTGCTGTGGTGCCATCACCACCTACAAATGTGGGCTCAAACCAAGGCAGCTTTTGGGGAAATGGGGGTGGCCAGGCTCATGTCAGCCCCTGGCATGGGGGGGAGCAGGGAGCAAGCAAGGCAGTCCTTCCCCTTGGAGTAAATCCCCAGCTCAGACAGCTCCTGCCTTTGGTTTTTGTGCCATGCAGATCTTTCCTACCCCTCCAGAGCCAAGCATGTAGCAGACATTGGGAATTTTACAGGAATGCCATTTTGTGGGAATTCATCCCTTTTTGTGATGTGATCCAGGCAGGTGCCAACAAGAAACTTTATCAGCTTTATTCATGTCAGCTGCCTGGCTCTAAGGATTTCAGGGAGCTCCTTGGAAATTCTCTGGCTTCTCCAACACAGCTCAGAGATTGACAGTGTGGTGGCAACTCTCTTTTATGGGATAACATGGTTTGTGGTATTAATCCCTGTGGGGTGGCAGAAAAGCATAAAGGATGTCAGTGGTTGGGGTTTCTTTGGGAAAAAGGAGAGGGCTTGTGCAAGCTGCTTTGCTCTTGGGGCAGCTTTTGAGAAAGAACAGCTTTCACTCCTGATGTGGGGAGTTTTCTTCCCCTTGCCCCCCAGATTTCATTACAGTGAAAGCAGAGCATAGAATAAAACTGTGTCCTGAAAAAAATGGGCCTCACAGACAGGCAGCCTTTGTTCCAAGGTGTAATTACAGGATAAATATGGGATGCAGACCAAGAAATGCAGTCTGGTCAGGCATGCAGTCTCTTAGAAAAACACAACAGAAAACAAGGTTGTCATTTAATGCTGAAAGGTGCACACGTGCTGCACCCCTTGTGGCCCCTCACTGGCCCGTGGATCTCCCCTCTGACCTGGTGTTTGGGTGTTTGGATGGTGCAGCTGGAGCCATGCACCAGCTCCCCGCAAGGACCACGCCAAGCCCCACGATGGAGAGAAGGAAAGGGTTGATCCAGGCTGCAGCAGAAGCCTGTGAGGGTTGGTGAGGGCATTGCTGGTGTGATGGATTTCCTTGGCTCCAGCCCCTGTGCAGAAATCCCCTCCGACAGGGCTGTGAGGAGACAGGGGGGATTAGCTCATCCTATCCCATTAAATGGAGCTGCAACAAGCGAGGAGAAGGCTAAGGGAGGTCAGCACAGCCAGCACAGCAGCCACCACTCCTGCTGTTTGGGACAAACCTCACGCCAGTCTGGATAAAGGCCTTTTTGTGGATTTCTATGGACCTGCCTGGTGCCTTGGCTTCATGGCCCAGCAGGGCTACCTGGGTGTTAAAGTGCAGGGCATCTAAGGTGGCATTTCAGAGACTTCACCGCTCCATTACTTGCCTCTCCAAGGCAAGCGCAGCCATGCCAGCATGGCCCCAGGCAGCTCTGAGAGGGAAGCAGAGAAGCAGCAGGATGTACCTGCTGTCCAAAGTCAACTCCAGATTAGACCAGTGAGAGGGAATCATTTCCCAGAAAGATCCCACTGGGAGGGGAACAGGACATCCGTTATTTGTTAAAGCTGTCACGGGTGCTACATCATCTGCAGTGACCCCAAGGAGCAGCAGCTTTGGCCGGTGGCCCTGTCCCACGGGACACATGTCCCCTCACTGTTCTGGACTTGTGGAAAAGGTCCCTCTGGTGCTAATTAGCATCACCCCGATGTTCCCAAATTCCCCCCAAGCACAGCTGCAGCAGGCTGGGAGGTGAGCGGCGAGGCAGTACAGCTGCAGGTGGTGTTTGTCTTATTTCCATATTTTAAACCAAGCTTTAGTACTGCTTTATTTCAGAAAACTTAGATCTTTTGAAAAGAGGATTGTTTGTTTTTTGGTGGATTTTTTGGCATTGTTGTCTGTGAGAAAGGGGGAGGCCGCATCCATCGCAGCTCCTGTTGTGGGCTTCCTGCATGGTGTGTCTGGATGCAGGTATGTCCTTGCTCCAAGGCAGTCTCTTACTATGACTTTCCCAATCCGTGCCTTCCCTCCCAACTCCTCCAAAGAGCCGGGCAAGGCTGAGCCAGAGCAGGCTGAGCAGGAGGCCCCTCTTTGTGAGGGGGCACAGAGCTCCCCAGCAGCTCAGGGGGAGTTCAGCTGCTCCAGCCTCGGAGGAGCCGCGGCCCCTGCGGCTTCCCGATGCGCCTGGAGCCGGGGGTTTAATGGCAGCAATTAGCCCCGCGGAAATCTGCATGCTTCGGGGGCATGTTTTCATGTTTTCTCTCCGTCCTGTGACGGTTCTGACGGGAAGCTGGAGGGTGGCCAGGAACAATTGCTTATGCTTGGCTGGCGGTGTGGGCTGAAGCAGAGGGCGCAGACAGCGCAGGTAAAAACGGGCGGCAGTCACCGTGCCCTCCGGAATGGTGTGGCCAGCAGGAGCAGGGAGGGCGTTCTTCCATTCTTCCCCTGTACCTGGCACTGCTGAGGCCACACCTCAAGTGCTGTGTCCAGTTCTGGCCCCTCAGTTTGGGATGGACCTTGGGATGCTCGAGCACATCCAGAGGAGGCCACGAGGCTGGAGAGGGGCTGGGAACACAAGTGAGGAACCACTGAGACAGCTGGGGGTGTTTAGGCTGGAGAAAAGGAGACTCAGAGGTGAGCTTATCACTCTCTACAGCTCCCTGAAAGGTGGCTGTGCTCAGCTGGGGCTGGGCTCTTTCTCAGGCAGCACTGACAGAACCAGAGCACACAGTCTTAAGCCACACCAAGGGAAATATAGGTTGGATATTAGGAAAAAGGTTTTTACAGAAAAAGTGATAAAGTTCTGGAATGGTGTGACCAGGAAGATGGTGGAGTCACCATCCCTGGAGTGTTTAAAAAAAAGACTGGATGTGGCACTGGGTGCCAGGGTTTAGTTGAGGTGTTGCAGCTGGGTTGCACTCGATCTTGGAGCTCTCTTCCAATCCAGTCTATCTGTTCTTACCTGTTCTTATCTGTTCTTGTCTGTTCTTATCTGTTCTGCTCTCTGGCCTTGGCTCAGCCCAGCTCCCGCTTCCCTTGCTGCCTGTTTTCCATGCTCCTGGATTTGCCTGTCCTTTCCCCCTGGACCCACTCTCTGAGCCCCCAAGCGCCTCCACCCGCGGTGGGATGGGAGGGGGATGCTGGCCACTCTCCAATGTCCCCTCTTCGGCTGTGGCAGCTCAGTAGCTACCCACCCCTCCTGCTGTTTCACAGACGATTACCCTGAAATGATTTCCTCTGCAAAAGCCAACCCAATGGTGCTTTTCCAGAGGCATTTACAGGACCAAGCGCGTTCCCCCTGATGCTGGCTGAGCTCTGTGGGCTTTTCCCAGCGCGCAGCTGCGGAATATCCATCTGCCCTCCGTGACCCTGCTGCTTTCCCAGCAGGAAGCCTCCAAACAAAACCCGATTCACTCAGCAGCCCCGGGGCTGCTTGTGATGCTGAGAGCTGCATGTGAGGCGGGGAGGAGGCTGGCGCTCTCCATCGCCCGTGAGCGATGAGGATGTGCCAAAAATCTCCACTTTTGTGGACACTTTTGTGTCCTTTCCGCATCCAGCTGGCAGCGAGCGCTCTGAAATCACACCTTGAAGCCTGGTGCTGCCCTGCCCTGCTCGGGAAAGCTCCCCGGGTGGATGGATGGCTGCCCGGGGCTCCGGTGCTGTGGTCCCCGCTGGCCGGCCCCGCGCTCCTCAATGCCGCCTCTGTTCTCCCTCTTGGGTCAAAAACGCGGCTTTTGTGAGCTCAGCCCAGCCCAGCCCTGCTCCGGAGCCCCAGCACGTTCCTCCCGGCCGGCAAAGCTCAGCCCAGCTGTGGCCGGCTGCCGCCTCGCTTCATTTATTTATTTTTGCTTTTGGCCAACAGCTCTAGCTGGGGAGAAGGGGACGTGCGGCTGCTGGGACCCCTCAGGGCTCGCTGGCAAGCCACTCTCCACCAAAGTGTTTCACTTCTCCCTCAGGTGGCTGCCATGACCCAAAATATCAGGGGGAGAAAAAGAATGAGATACAAAGAGGGCTAAAAATAGGCATTTTAATTCATGAAATGTGAATTGGAGGGAGCAGCTTGGCGCTGGGTCAACATCTGCAAACGGCAAACACCCTGGAACTCCCTGGGCCTCTACCGGGTTTGGCCACCCATCAGTGCTGTTAGCACTTGTTTGTGGGGCTCCCCCGGGCAGGGGACACCCACAAATACTGAGGAGACAGGGGACTCTGTGCTGTGGCTTTGTTTTTGATCAGATAAGTCTGGCCATCTTTCAGCACCTCCTCAGAAGTTCGTGGTCACTGCCACACGGGGGCTGGGAGGGTTACAGCCCATCAGTCCCCGGGGGCTCTCCCGAGATCATACAGAAGGACACGCGGTGGTCTCCAGCTAAAATGTGACCTCTGTTCTGGGTGTCTCCCTTTGTGGCACGTTGTGCTGCTCTGATTTTTGGGCTTAGCTCCTTCACCAGCTTCCCCCTCCTTTTCACATTATAATAAATAAATAAATTCACCCGGTATGCAAATACACAGGGAAAAAAGGAAATAAACCCAAACCTCCAAAACCAAGTTTGAAGAGCACCAAACCATAGTCACCTCATTTTGTCGTAGCCCAAGAGCCATCCAGGGCTCTGTGGGCAGTTTCCACTCTCTGCTGGTGAATGAAGGCACTAAACCAAGAAGGTCTCTGGGCGCTTGCTGACACCACAGGGATTTTGTCCTTGCCCCGTCCCAGCTGGCATGGGGGGTGGCAAGGCAGAGGTGCTTGGTCCTGTCCCCCTCTGCTTGCCATCACCCTCCTCCTCCTCCTCAGTGCAGCTCCCGAGCTGGGCAGGTGGCCCTGTTGCCGACCCCACCTCCCCTCACCCTCACCATTTCCCCATTCCCGGAGAAACTGAGCAATTCAGGCTCCGCAGGACCCCGGGGCCAGCTCTGCCAAGACGCTCCGGCTCCTGGGGCTGCCACCTGGAGCATTTTTGAGAGCAGGGACGCCCAGGTCGCCTCCGGACCGGCCGGGAGCACGGCCGCAGCCCCTCGTTCCGCCCCGCCACCGCGCCCCCGTCCTGCTACGTGACCCACGCGGGCGGTGCCTCCTCCAGCAGGCTGAAGGAGCGGTTGGCCAGCGCCGCGGGGCCGCTGGCCAGCTTGTAGCCAAAGAGCCGCATGGCCGGGCCGCAGGCGTCCTGCACCACCTGCGCCAGCTTGAAGGGCATGCCGAAGCGCCACTTGTCGAACTGCTCCGAGGAGTTCTTGCACGTGGAGTAGACGCCGTTGCCGTCGGGGGGAGCCTGCGTGTTCTTGCCGATCCACTCCTCCACCTGGCGGGTGAGCGGCAGCCCGGCGAAGCGGAACATCTCCCGCGCCTTCTGCAGCGGCGCCCGCGCCACGTCCTCGTAGCGCACCAGCATGTAGCGGCCCCGCAGCCAGCGCGGCCGCCGCAGCCCCAGCTCCGCCGACACGCGGATGCTCTCGCAGTTGCCCCGCAGCCGCTGCACCTCCTCCTCGTGCAGCGGGGCCTCCCCTTCGGACGCCCACTTCTTCCAGGTCTCGTACTTGCCCGAGAAGGCCACCATGCGCGAGGCCAGGACGGCGCGGGGGTCGCGCACCAGCTGGATGATGCGCAGGTCCAGCCGGGGGTCCTCCACCAGCGGCTGCAGGAACTCCAGCTGCCGGATGCGCACCGTCTTCAGCGCCACGTGCTGCTTGCGCCGGCACGCCTCGGCCGCCAGCGTGATGTTGAGGGGGCCGCAGCGGCGGTTCTTGCAGTAGTACTTCTCAAAGACCTTCTTGGTGCTGGGCGTGCAGACGGGCTCCTCGCACAGCGAGTGGCTGGAGCCCCGCCGGAACAAGAAGGGCGTCAGGTGGCCCTCGGGAACCGGGGAGATGAAGTTCTCTAGGATGTAGAGGTCGCAGAGGAGGAGCTGCTTGAGGACGTCTCGGTAAACCAAGGCCGAGCCCACTGCGCTGGCTCCCCCCGGCAGGAAGTTCACCGTCTTCTCGACGTGCCAGAGGGGCTCAAAGAGGTAGAAGATGCTGCCCTGCTGGTTGAAGAACTCGCCGACGAAGGAGGAGCCGGTGCGGGTGGTGGCCATCAGCAGGACGTGCCGCCGTGGCCCGGGGTCCCCGGGGTCGCCTGCCAGCTGCAGGGTGATGTTGTACAGGTGGGACCTCAGCTGGGAGAAGGCAGCGTCCAGCTCCTGCAGCGAGGCCAGCGAGCCGTTCTTGGCCGCTGCTGGGCTGAGCTCCGTGCTGTTGGCCTCCGCCAGAGCCTGCGGGGACTGCTTCAGCCTGTCCGACACCCTGTGGGGAGAGCCAGCCCAGCCTGGAGGACAGCAGCACCGCCCTGCATCCCAGCAGGGGACTTGGGAGGCTCCTCTGCATGGGAGCTCAGGACTGGGGGAGAGGGGCTGCACACCTTGGCGTGGCTCAGATGCCCACTGCCTACCTGGAGATGAAGTTGTTCTCCTTCTCGATGATGACGAGGCTGATGACGAAGACCAGCAGGACGGCGTACTTGCTCTTCATCTTCAAGTAGTGCAGCAGCTCCCGGACGTCCTGGGGCAAAGCGCGTCGGATCTCCATAGGGAGCGCACACAGCTCCCTCCTGCACGCCGGGAAGGTGTCCTGGGCCAGCCCTGCCTGTGGGGAGAAGAAGGCTCAGCATGGCGAGGGTCAGAGGCTGACAAAGGCTGGACAAGAGCAGTAAAAAAGTGGAAGCTCCTCCCTGCTGCTCCACCCCACCCCGGGATGAGGAGCAGCTGCCTGAATGCTCCATCGGCTGCTCCTCCTCCTTCCCAAAATATATCCGCCCGACAGGATCCCTTCCCACGCTCCCACCAGCTCCCCCTGCCCACCCTGAAACCCAATCCCTGCCACCCGACAGCTGCCTGCTTCCCGCTGGCAAAAACCTGCTGCTGCCAGCGAGGGAGCCCCCGGATCATCCGGATCTTCCGCACGTTGTGGCTCCCGACCTCTGGAAAGGGAAGGCCTGGAGGCTCCACTGCAGGGCCCCAGCGTGGGGCTGAGCAGCTTCCGCCTCCCCCCAGCATGGCAGCAGCAGCTGCTGAGCCTCGAAAATGAAACCCAGAGAGTTTTCAGGAACGACGGCGGGCCGGAAAACGCTGCTGCTGCTGCTGCCGCCAGTCCCCCTCGGGGAGTAGAAAGCACCGGGGGAGGCTTTTGCCAAAAAAGGGAAGAAGAAAAAAAACCCAAATGATGGTGCAGCTGCTTGGTGTGGGATGCAAAGCCAGGAGACTTGGCAGAAAAGTCCCGCCCCCCCAGCCTCTCCTTCTGCGCCCAAATCGGGGCGTTGCTGGAAATGCTCTGAGTGGCACCAAACCCACCCCCCAGCTGGAGATTTGGGGGTCACAGCCGCTGTTTCAGGCTCTGGGGCAGGTCCCCAGTGTGCAGATTTGCACCCCTAGGCCTTGTTGGCATCTGCCACCTGCCCTGGGTGACGCTGTTTGCTCGTCCCGCTTTCTTGGCCAGACTTTCGGTGACTCAGGGAAAGTCTATTTAGCCTTGGCTGGGCTCCACAAGGGGCAGCCCGTCCTAGCCCTGCTTTTGGGGTGAAGGAGGGGAGCCAGGCAGAACCCCGTCCTTTGGGGGGACCCAGGGTTTGCTGGAGGGGAGATGTCCTGGCCAAGCCTCGGCAACTGCAGCTCCATCAGAGTGTGGAGTGAGGAAGCCCTGCCAGGCATTGCATCACGTCGCAGCCTCTTCCGCATCGTGCTCGGCCAAAATGTGCATTTTTAGGCCAAAATGTGCATTTTTTAGGCCAAAATGTGCCTGTCTTAGGCCAAAACTTGCATTTTTTAGCGTTGCTCGCTGAATGCCCCTCCGGCTGGGAAGGAGGGACCATGGGCAGGAGGGGTGGGATGTGTCCCGTGGCCAGGGCAGCACCCAGCCTGTCAGATTCCCAGTCCTCTCCGTGCGAGGACCAGGAATTTCCCAGCTTGAGCAAAGCACTCAGCTCCCGGGGCTTGGCTTCCAGCCGTCTCCTTTCCAGCAAAACCTTCTAAAAAGAGACATCCACACCTACGCACCCAGGAAACTCAGGATTTAGTGGGATGCAGGGACTCTGGAGAGCCCTGGCAGCCCCAGAGCCCTCCCACAGCGGTCCTCCCTTTCAGCAAGCAGCACCGAGATCCCCGGCACACGCGCGTGCGTGCGTGTGTGTGCTCGTGTGTGTGTGTTTTTAACAGCCCTGTTAGTTTAGTTTGTCATCACACCGCTCCTCGGGGACAGGCCAGCAGCCGGGGCAGGTGCCTTTCACCAGCCACCCCTCACATCCCCCCTCCTCGGTCGTGCCCCCTCGATGACAGCATGTGTCGGAGTGTTTGGGCAACCGAGAGAAAAAAATCAAGTACACAAAGTCCTGGGCGTGCGGTGGCATCCCAGGGGGCGGTGATCTGCATCCCTGCCCTGGCCTGGGGCTGGGGACAGTCCCCATCGCTGCCCTGGCCTGGGGACAGTCCCCTCGCACAGGGGATGCCATCAGCCGCTTCCTCGCACAAATCCCTGGGCGAAGCCAGCCCCGCGTTCTCACCCTGTAATGCCCCCAGCTGCCTGACCACAAATGAGCCACAGAGCAGGAATCATTCACAGGGGTGACACAGAGATCCGTGTCCGGCAGCGCTGGCACAACCCTCATTCACGGCCCCGGGGCAGACACCATTCATTAAACAAACAACCGGCTGCAAATCCCTCCTGGGACCGGCGGGGCCCTGTCAGGGCTGAGCTCAGGGGCTGGGGACACGAAGGTGACTCGGGGAGGCTGCCTGGCTCAGCCTAAAGCTCAGCCTAAAGCTCAGCCTAAAGCTCTTCCTCGCTGGGGCCTGCGTGGCTCAGCCCTGCTGGGGCTCTGGGCCAGCCACAAGTGCCCCTTTGTGAGGGGAACAGAGGGGCTCTGTGTCCCTGCAGGCCCCCCTCCAGGGCTCTGCTGCGATGGGATGGATCAGGAGAACCACAGGGATGCTGCTGCTGCTGCCCCAGGGTGCCCTGCCAGTGTCTGCTCCTGGAAATGCACCTGTGTGAGCAGACAGACAGATGGACATCGCCCCTGGAGATGGCAGGCAGCCTTGTCTTGCTCTCCACGAACCAAAGCAAAGCAGGATAATTTCCAGGAATGCTGAACAGAGATGCTGGGGAAGGCAGCACCCACAGCTCAGATGCTGCTCCCCTCAGGCTGGAAGTGCTTTCCAGTTCAGCAGGGGCGGCTGTGATTCCCATTGCAGAGATTTATGGATTTCCCAGAAAAGGAGCCTTTTTTGGGCGATGTTGGGGATTTTGTTGCCATGCAAATCTGCCCAGGTGGGATCCATCACTACCAGCAAGTTAACTTAACCTTGCCACAGCAAGAGGGAAGGACTTGGACAGCAATGGAGACACCAAACCATTCCATTGGAGCACGCTGGTTTGTGGGATGGATGCTCCCACTGGTGGTGCAGGTGGGGTGAGAGCAGCAGAGACCCTGTGGGAGGAAGGAGGGAAGGGATGCTCCTGTCACCCTCCTGCAGGGCATTCCACAGGACTGGCAGAGCAGAGCAGGGGGTTTCAGCTCTGTTTTGAGAAAGGGAAGGATTTACACAAAGCCTTGGGGCTCTCCTTCCCCCTCTCTGGCTGCCCTGAGCCCCCACCAGGTGAGATCCAGGAAGGAAAGATGCCTGTGGCTGCCAGGGGCAGCCAGCTGGGGGTGAGACTGGATGAAGTCACATTTTCCTCGGGTGACTCAACAGGCAACAACTGAGCTCTGGGCACAGACAATGTGAAACACCCACGTGCAAGAGTTCCTGAGATCCTTCTGACCATCCTGCCCCCGTCCACTCCCATCCATCCCTCCGTGGAAGCCCACAGTGACCTGCAGCTGAGCTCGCTGCCCCTGGAGCTGCTGCTGCTGCTCTGAGTAATTCCCTCCACAGTCTGCTTCATCAGACTCCATCAGACACTGGGATCAGCAAAACACAGGGGTGGAACAACAAAGAGATAAGGAGCACGGGCTTATCTGCTCTCCGCGCTGCTCTTTGTCTGCAACCTGGGGGAAAAAAAACCCTCTCTGTATTTACTCTTTCAATTATTTCCGCTCCCAGCTTCCTCCCCAGGCTGGCCTTGGGAAACGTGCCACCAGAGCTTCCCACTTTGCTTTCATCTCCCAGCAATTTTCATCCTGGTCCTGGCTGTCCTCCAAGGCATGGCACGAGCACAGCGCTGCTTCGGTTTGCCCTGCAGCACAGCTAAGGAGCCTGTCCAGGCAGGTATTCTTGGGTTAAAAACATGTCTAGTCAAGCTAAAAAAAAAGAGGGGAAAAAAGTCTTCTCCTAAAATGTTTATAAAGTTGCTGAGAATAGTCACAATCCTCATCAAATTGAAGCCTGCAAACTGCCCATTGGAGGAGAAAGTTGGGAATGGAAAGTCCTTCTGACTCAGAGGTTACACTCAGGAGCAGCAGCAGGAGCGGGGTTGGTACAAACAGGCACCACTGGAACAACTTTGTTTTCATTGCGCGAGCTCTCAAACTCCAGTGCATGAGGTCCTGTCCACTCTTCCCTGCCCCACCTGCTCTCTGATGACCCGGATGAGCTGTGCTCGTGTCCCACCGTGCAGAAGGGGTGCAGAGGCTGCTGAGGGCACGGTCACGCTGGTGACAGCACCAGCTCGGGCTCCATGGCCAGGACAGACCGCCCTTTTCTCTCCCTCACCTTGGTGGTGTCCAAAGAGACACCAAGAGTTTTCTCCGGACCCAGCAGAGAGGAGAGCTGCTGCTCCTGCCCCTGCTGAACCCCTTGGGGCTCAGAGACATCAGTGCTGGGTGTGGGGATAAACACTGCATCTGCCAGGCAGGGAGCAGCCTCTGGGGCTGCATCTGGACCAGGACCCAGCTAAAACACCTTCAGCCTTGAATCCAACCCGCGGCCGGGGTGGGGTTTGCAGCACCACCTGGAGCAAAGGTGAGCAGCTGAAGGCACCGAAGTGCTGGGCAGCGAGGGGGGCTGCAGAGCAGGGCAGACCACCGAGAGGGTGAGAGGGAGGAGGTTCGCTCGGCGCCGGGGGCACAATGCCGGCTGCTGTGCGTGCCGGCGGCCCCCGGCCACGCCGGGAACCGCAGATGCCCGAGCCCGTTCAATGAGCCCTTTCTTTGGGGCGCGGAGCCCACGGTCCCTCCCACCGCCCCGCACTCCTTCCCTCGCTGCTCCAGGTCAGACCCACCCCGGGAGCAGGGATACGGCGCTCCCTGTGCCCGCCTGTGCTCCCCTGCCAGCCCCGGCCCGGCGCCTGCAGCGCTCCAGGGATGCAGAAGGGACTGGTGGCAGGAGATGCTGGCGAGGGGACAGTGACCGGTGCTCGAGTCAGCACGGGGAGACTGGGGGTGTGGAATCGAGCTGAAGCAACATGGCAGATGTGGAAAAATCGCAGAGTTAAATGCCTGTCCTGGTGTAGGGCCGTAAATCGTTGGCTGTGGAAAAGGAGACGCTTTGCTCCAGGCACCGAGGCAGGCTCGGTGCAGAGGCAGCGGGGCGTGGGCAGCTCTGCCCGGGGCGGCGGGGAGCAGCTGCTGAGACCCCGGCAGGCGTGAGGGGGGACTCTGCCTTTCCCCAGGGTACCCCGTGCCATCCAGGGCCCGTGTCACGGTCCCACTCCCGCAGAAATGTCCCCGGCTCCGGGCGCCGGCCCCGGGCCAGCGTGCCCCGGTGGCCCCGGGACAGGAGGGGAAAGGGTGAGAACAACTTTCCAGCGCTCCCTGCTCGGGGCTGACAGGACGGATGATGCAACTCCGGGATGGTTGTGAGAAACTCTCCTTTTCCCAAAGTCTCCTTCTGCCGCCCCAAACGCGCTCGGCTCCGGACGGAGGCTCGGCGCTGCAGTGGATCCCATTCCATTGATTTTTTTTTTTCCCCGAAAGAAAGGCACGGGGAGAGCCGCTGAGCAGTCATGCGCCGGGAGGACTGTGGGCAGCGGGGAGCTGCCACGGGGCTGGGATGAGGGGAGGAAGGGAGGCTCGGCCGGCGCTGCCCCGCTGCGGGAGCGGCCCGCGGGGCCCCGCACCGAGACAAAGGAGCGGCCGAGGCCGGAGGGCGCACAAAGGAGCCGGCGGAGCCGGGGCCGCCCCGCGGGGGGATGCGGCCGCCGAGCCCCGGGAT